AAAAGACCAGTGCTTGTCAAACTGCTCTGGCCATCCTGGAAGGTCGGCACTGACATTGGGGCTGTAGCAGGCAGCCTGGTAGACCTGCTCAGTCAGCACTACATCTGGTTATATTCCCTTTTGTTGGATCATTGATTTTGATGCTATTTGTATTTTTCAAAAGGAAATCATGCACATTTTGGGATTGAGAATATTTGCATATTCTTCTCCAGGCATTTGTTTACAGCCTTTGCATGTAGACAACAGTCTTCGGTAAAGTTTAGTGAATAAAATGTAAAGATGTCTTTTGAAATTCTTGTGCAGGTGCTCCACGATCATAGGTGTATGTACATGTTTATTATTCACATGTGCATGTACACTACTGGTCATCTTCCTTGCCCTGCCTACTGTGCGGCCACTGTTTCCAAGGGTCAGAAATAGGCAGCTGGAAACTGGAAACTCGGCTGGCATCATGAAGTACCAATGAATCCTGACAGCACTTCATGCTTTGGCCACGTAGTTAGAACAAGGTGGATTGGGAGGGTCATTGTACACTTGACTGTGATTTGGGATTTTTGAAATTCTTCTAACGTAGCCCTGTCCTGTGCTCATTCAAATGATCGTTAATTGGAATGTCATGATATTTAAGCAGCAGATGTTTTTCTGCCCAGTAAATTTTGTTATTGTTTAGTGCTCATGAGAGAAGAGAAATTACTATTGTTGGTTTTAAATATGAGCAGTCATGGGTGTTCTTTATAGCTTCTGTGTGCTTTGTTCCAGCCTATGACATGAATAGGGTGTGTAACCATAGATCTTTTATGATGTTGTGGTCAGGGTGGCCACCACCTTTGAGGTGATAGACTGAGTGCCTAGTAATTTAGTTCTTATAATTTAATGAAAGTTTTGTTTTTTCTAATTCTTGTTAGTGAATTTGTATTTATAGCTCTTATAGGAGGAAAGTATTACAGCTGTATAAATCTATGTTTGATGGAAAGTTGACTTTTTTTTAATGGAGTGCTAGAGGAGAATTGTGGTCTACTTGTGTTGTTTGGAAATTAGTTTTAAGAAAATTTTCCAAAGAAGTGATGGGAGACCCACTCATATCATGTAGTTATCACAGTGGCCACATTTTTCCTGCTTGAACTGTGTCTGCCCTCGCCCCATTGTGATGGGTTACCGCTCATGTGCCCTGATTTGCTTCTCTGATTTCTCCTGCAGGTATTGTCCTTTCAGAACTCACTAACACAGGACTAAACTGCTTTGCTTGTTAATCCTCCATTGCTATTTCCACATGCCTTTTCCAGGGTAATTTCAGTGTGAAGCAATCACCTACTGAAAAGCTCTGTATGTTTGAAATACTCTATGTCTGAAATACTTAAAGATCTTCTTTTTAATTTGGATTCTTCATTTTACCAGACAGTATTTATTATTCACATGTACCTTAGTCAGAAACAGAACAAATAGGACCTCTATCTCTGTATTGCTGTCTAAAGGAGATTTATTGTAAGAAATTGGCCCATGTGATTATTAAGGCTGAGAAGTCCCATGATCTGTCATCTGCAAACTCAAAGCCCAGGAGATCTGATGGTGTAAGTTCCAATGTGAGGGCAAAAGACCGATGTCTCAGCTCAACTAGTCAGGCAGAGATCAAATTCTCCTTTGTGCTGTGTTCAGGGCTAGATGCAGCCCATTCGCACTGGGGAGGGCTGTCTGCTTTACTCAGTCCACCAATTCAAATGTTAATCTTATCCAGTAACACCCTACCAGGCACACCCAGAATAATGTTTAACCAAATGTCTGGGCACCTTGTGGTCCAGTCAAGTTAATGCATAAAATTAGCTACCGTGCACTTGTAGTGTAATGAAAGTATTTCAGGAATTAGGGAAGCTGTTTTGAAAACATTTATAGGAATATTGTTTCCTAAGCATGTTTAAATGAACTGACTCCCAGAGTGTTAAGACTAGGACTCCAAGTCCTGCTCCTCTACGAAAGCTTTCTAAGAAGTGCTAGCAACATTATATCTGTACCTTCCTGACCAGCACTTCCTTCATGAATTCCATCAATTGCTGTATTATATGATGTGTTTCTGATTTTGTGACTGTTTAGTGAAACGCTGAATTCATTGGGCAGAGACAGTGTCTGTATTTCTCCACATGAGTTTTGCCTACACGAGGAGACAGTGGATCATTGGCAACCCCCTCACCCTACCCTACGTGGTCTCTGCATGGTGCAGCACAGGTAGGGGTGGTGCTCTCAGCCATGAGAATGATGGACTGAAGTCTCTGCAGTTTTCTGCCCAACACAGTTTACCTTCAGGCTTAACGTATAGCAGTTATTTTGTATAATTATGTCTGGTTTACAGTTTTTACTCTTATTTGGTCTTCAGATTTCAACCAGGTAGGGAAATGTTTCAAAACTTGAAAATATAAGTCTTCTGGTTTCAATAGAAGGAAGTTATTAGATTTGATGGTAGATAGCATTTATTGCCTATCATAGTGAATATAGGAAACAATTGAGTATCAGTTTTTGAAAATATTTATTTACATTTGATTTTTCTCTCATTATCACATATAATTATTACAATAATGATAGCAATGTCAGACTATTAGATAGTGTGCTTATATGTTCCTGGCACTGCTTTCAGCACTTACTGATCTTTGTACCTGTGTGGTGGCTCTGTCCTCTTCTTGTTGGAATAGTTGATGCATTTCTGTTTATACATACATGGTTTTAGCTTTGCTTTAAAAAAACGAATCAATTGGATATAACTATAACTTACCAACTTCCAAGAATTCACTTTCAGATTTAGTTGTTCAGAAGGGTCTGGGCTTTCCTAAAGTTCCTTTCCTGTTCCTGTTTGGTCATGAGTTGGTTTGAGACCAGAATCAACCCCAGGCAGCAGTTTGGTCCAAGGCCCAGGGGGCAGTGACAGTGGTGAGTGGCCATGTGACTGGGCAATGTGGTCTTGGCAGATTCCAATAGATTAAGTTGTGGATCTTTATTAAACCCAGGGGAGAGTTTTATCTAGATCTCCTGAAAGGAAACTGGAGCCAAGTTTATGTAAAGCTAACTTCTCACCTTGCATGTTTCACTATTAGGACATGGACACCATGCTTAATTGAACTGTTTTCTAAAACCGGTACTCAGATTTTGGCCAGTGATCAATAACTATGGAGTGCCTGCTGTTTGCCAGGGGCCGTGCTGCTACCAGGTGGGGTGGAAGTCTGGTCCTCACTGTCTTGAAGCCCTGGATGGCACTGAGCCCCATGGGCCACTTCCGTTAGAACTTCAGCTTCACGTCAGCCATCTTACAACTTGACTTCTCTAATTCTGACCCCAAGGTACGGCCTGTTGTAGGAGACCTGAAGGGACCGCAGCAGTGCTCTGACCTCATCCATCCTCTGAAATGTCCTGTTGCTCTTCTCAAAATTTTCAGCATGCTTTATGAATGGGGTCACCTGCATTATAGTGTTGCCAACTTGTAGCATCAGTGAAGCAAAGATTCATCTTTTTATTTTAGGAGAAAAATTAAACTTTGTTGCTTTTCTTTGTACTGTCACTTTTCAGCCCCTCCATTCCCTCTGAATAAAAAGTCATAAATAGGGATGTTATGTTTTTTCTTTCATTTTGATTTGTAAAGTAGCAAAACTCCTATAAGAAACTCTTTTCTACCAGTAAGAGGGTAAATTCCTCAAACTTAAAAGGGCAAACAAAGATAGTAGCAAGCAAGACAACTCTTGTCTTGCTCATAGGTTTTTAATAGATTAGTTGATGCTTTGTTGTCTGAGGAAGTGGCTGTGTAAGAATCATGAGAAGTTTGCATTTGGAAAGGGGTGAATTCTTCCCGCTGCATCTGAGCTCAGGCTAACACAGTAATGTGCCCCATGAGTGGGAGAGGCCCACAGGTGGATGGCAGAAGACAAGCCAATATTCACCAGCTTATGCTCATGTCAGCTGATTTAGCAGCTCAACATCACCTCAGTACTGAAACTAAGACCCCCGGCGCCTTTGATTTCTCCTCTGGGCTTTCCCCTCTGTCTCATTCTGAAAAATCTCTCCTGCTGGTAGTCCTGCCTCAGTCTCCTCTTTCTTGCCTCTGCTGTACTGCCTCCAGAATTAGCTGAGGTATGGGTCTGTCACATCGTGCAGTTTCTCCAAGCTGACATTTTGCCCAGAATGAAGTCTTGTTAACTTGCTGTTCCAGGTCCTGACTTGGCCCTGTTCTTCTCTGGCCCCCTCCCTGGGTGTCTCCCTGCCATCGCATCTGCTGTTAACTCTGCCTTGAGTGCACGTTTGCCTCTGCTCTGCTTTATGCTAGTCATCCCAGAAGGCTTCTATCATGCCCCCTCTCTAATTATTTTCTGTGACCTCGTATGAATAAAAAGAACAGAAGAAACAATCATAGCTTTTATGATGCTCAAGTAGCTTGAATGCAAAGGCATAAAAGTAAATTTCTGCCTTATGACTACTGTAAGACTTGATAGAGGGGTGTAAATCATATTCAAACCAGCAGATTTCTTGCAAATAATTGCTTCAACTGTAACCACTTAGCTACTCTGAGAATAGTCTGCATTTTGAGATTGAGGCTCATGATCCCTCAGGTGCTGAAGGGGTTTACAGATGGGATCAAGGTCCCGCTACTGACATTATCCTGAGAGATCATGGAAGGACAAAGAGGTGCCAGAACCAAGATAAATGCCCTGATTTTTCAGAAAGCACCAAGAGATCCTAGACTTGTGCTGTCCAGTATGGTGGCCACTGAGCACTGGATATATGCCTGCCCTGAACTGAGATACCGTGTTAAGTATGAAATACCTAATGTTGAAGATTTCATTTGAAAAAAAGAATGTAAAATAAATCATTAGTATTTTTTATAATATATGTTGAAATGATACTATTTTGGAATTGGCTGGGTTAAATAAAATTATCAAAATTAAGTTCATCTGTTTCTTTTTAATTTTTAGAATAGTTGTAAGAAAATTTAAATGAACAGGTTTGGTGTGTGCATTATGTTTTCACAGGAGGATGCTGTTCTTGACTCTACAACTCAGTGCTTTTACTCAGTATCCTTGGCAGCATTCTGAAGCACAGTGGTAAGCAGATGGGTGTGCTGACAGAAAAGGAAGCAGTAATAACCAAAAGGAAGAATAGTTTTACTAAGAACAAATCATGCCAAGCGAACCTCATTTTTTTGGTCATAAGTTTACTAGGCTAGAAGATCAGAACAATTCTGTATATTTACATTTTGTAAAGCATTTGGAACATCTCTGGTAAGCTCAAGGACAATTTAGAGAACATAGCGTTGTGGTTGATGGTGTGCTTGTGCCTGTAGCTGGCTAAATTCAGTTCTCAAAATATCTTGTATTGATTGTTGTGTCAGGAACAGACTAGAGGAAGCTTTCAGGCTTCCCATACAGCTCGCTTCAATTTAATGATGTGAGGGAACATAAATTAAGGTCACCTGTGAAAAGGTCACATCTGATCAGTTTTTAGTGGTCTCTAAGAAGGTTATGCTGTACTGAGTGGTCTGGAGCTCATTCACTGAACACACCTGTGGAGGGCATCTGTGTACAGGCACTCTGTAGGATGCTGGGAACAAAGATGGATTTTATATATATATATATAATTATGCATTTTAATAATGTGTATTGTAATTAATAATCCCTAACCTCAAAAATTCATCTAGGGAAAAGAGAACCATTTAAGTAAAATGCAGATTGCATGGTAGCAACTGATAGAAGCATGCATGAGTAGGGTGCAGGGCAATGCAGAGGTTATCATCCTCTGAAATGTCCTGTTATCATCCCATCTCTGGTGCCACAAAGAATAGCTTAGTATTAATTGGTGTAAAACTAAAATCATTATCTTTATTGGTTCATATCTGACAACTCAAATTAATATATGTGAGTTTTTAAAATCCTAACTGAGGTATAATTGACAAATAAGAATTACATATATTTAATATATTAATATATATATATTAAGATATAAGATATACCATGTGATGTTTTGGTATATGTATACATTATGCCACAATGACCATAACACAGCCCTTACCTCACATAGCTAACTTCTTTTTTTATGGTGAGAACACTTAGTATCTCTCAGCAGCTTTCAAGTAGACAATTACAGTCTTATTAACTGTAGTGTTCATGCTGCACATTAGGTCTTCAGGGCTTATTCATCCTATAACTGAAAGTTTGTTCTCTTTGACTGGCATCTCCCTGTTTCCCTGACCCCCCAGTCCCTGGCAACCACCATTCTACTCTTTGCTTCTGTGAGTTTGACTTTTTTATATTCTATATGTAAGTGTGTGTGATTTTTTTTTTCCGCAGCTATGGTAGAAAGTTTCGGTAATACCTGCTTTGAAAAATTCCCAGGATAAAATCATCTTGACAGTGTAGTTTTAGGGGTTTACTGGACCCATGTACTCAATGGACTTCAAATGGTTATTTCTCAAAGAACATCTGGCTTTGCTTGCTAGGTGCCAGTTGGGGTGCAGCCACGCAGAAATGGGTAATTCTGCACTTTGCTCAAGCTTTTTGAACTTCCGTTGAATCTAAGCAATGAGCTTTTAGCAATCTAATGGCTAGTTTGTTGTAGAAGATTCTTTCAAGAGCTTAAATGGCACATCCACTGCTTTGGTTCCCTCAACTTTGATCTTACAAGTAGGTGGCTCCAGGCAACATTTAGATGGCAAGGAGTTACCCCAGAGCCTCCCTGAATCCCATTCCTGAGGGAGTAGCCATCCTGCTGTCCATTCTGGCTGCAGGATATTCCAGACGTGTCCATAGGGCATCTTTCCCTGGGTTTGGTAGCAATGTCGTGTCAGTGCCTCTTACATTGTTACTACCCTGTGTGCTCTACACTTGACACACTTAAAATTTGTCAAAACATGCAGGGCAAATAATTTTATTATAAATATATTTTAGGCAAAAATTAAAGCTCAACCATTGCAACTTAGCAGGAAATCATGACTAGTCCCTTTTGAGTTCTGTTGCTATGCTCTAATTTTCTCTAGGTCCTGAAGTTTTAATTTTCTGCTTTTCTCTGATTTTATTTATTTTGTGAAAGTAGGCATTTAAAGTAAAACTACAGGTTTTCTTAAGGTAATTTTTGGTCTGTAAGTTTGGCTCTGTACATTGGGAAGGTAGGACATATATTTGACCTTGGTGAAATTGGCATATTAAATATTTAAATCAGCTGTGGTCAGCTTTGTCATTTTTTATTTATGTTGAGAAAAAATATTTAGAGGTTATAATTTTTTTTCCCATTGAAAATTACATGTTTTATTGTACCCTATGGGGTGAAAAGTACTTAAAACTTAGTTATCTCTTGAGTAGACAGTCTCAAAACAGGGAATCTGGTGATGTTTCTGGACACAAAGGATGTGGCAGGCAGGCTTCTGGGTTTCTGTGCCTGTGTGGGGCTGCTGGAGGTCCCTGGGGTTATCTTTTTCTTCCTCAGTGGAACCCTGCAGGGTTGGTCTGCACTTTACTAATGGGGATATTGGTGCTGAGAGGTGTGATGGAATGTTCCAGAAGGCGGGTGTGGGCTTGCTGGTAAAGCTAGTCACCTGGAGCCAGAGCTGCATCCTTGGCTGTGGGCAGGCAGAGAAGTGCCGCTACCCTCCCCAACGTGCTGTTGTTTCCTGGGGTCATGGGTCATGGGTCCCATGCCCTTGGGATGGCAGGGTGGAATGAGCATTCCTACACTGCCCTCCCTGCCTGGGGCTGCTCCCGAGGCCCTGAGGTGAACTGTGGCTGTGCCTTCTGCCAACCCCACTTTGCCTGAAGACCTGGAGGGGTTGTTGATGACCCTCAGATGGGTTTTCCTAGAGGGTCTCCCTTCCTGACAGGCAGTGTTTGGGGTCAGATAGTGCAGCTGTCTGGAGCTGAGGCTGCAGGCTTTACTTAGCAAAGGTCTCTCAATATTGCAGGAAAGGATACATACCTGATGTTCCCAAGTCTTTACCTAAAAGATCAAAGACGGAATGTAACAGCAAGAAATGCCAAGGCCATCATAAGAGTGTGAAGGGGAAGCATTTGGGATGTGCCCATTGGCTGTCCTCACATGCACACTGAGGCTCCTGTGAGGATGGGGTGCCATCCTGTCCAAGACAGCCATCTAGCCTGGCACCTGTTGAGGCTGTAGTAGCTGACTATTGAAAAGGTCTTTGTGGGGTGGACTAGTGAATTGTATTCAGCCAATGGCCAAACCAAGGCCTGTATGGGGAAATGGTAGGGAGGCAGGCTTCAACTTGATGGAGGTCAGAGGTGACCCAGACAGAATGGTTGACATATATGTGAAGTGTATGCTAGACCTGAGGACGGGGGTGCAGAAGAGGCTGGGCAGTCAGCTTTCTGTCCCTGATTCTGAGGCCGAGATTGTTTTTATCCTGACACATAGTAGCTTCACCCTAGCCTGCCGCGCTGCTGGCATTTCTAGCAGCATCCTTTTCACTTCTCATTTTTGGTTTATTTCCTAATGCCTTCGAAGCTCTGTGTGTGCTCCATGGTATTTCCAGAGGCTACTGAGGTCACTCTCTCAGGGTCGCAGTGTTGGAAATAAGGTCATCTCTCTCTTTAACACTGAAATAAACCGATAAATGCTTGTAAGTAGAGTAGCTGGCCTTCTGCTTTGGAGTGTTTGTTACCGTGCTGGAAATGAGGCTGGAATGTGCCTCCTGGGAATGGGGGTTTTCTGGGCATCAGGGTCCGGCATCTGCATGTGCAGAGTTATGCTTTTGCCTTGCATTCTCTCTGGCTTGGCAAAAGCCCAAGTGAAAGGGGAACTGTGAGGGCTAATTTGGCATAACAGATACCAGTTTTCCTTGAAAGGCCCTGCAAGATTACCTTGCTCCAGTGGCCCACACCCTGGTTCTGTGGCGACCTGGGCTCCCTCCCCCAAGTGGGGACTGGGGGACTGCAGTGGTCGCCTCTGTGGTGACAGTGGTTCACAGTGATGCTTTAGGGGCCCTTGATCTGGGTCAGGTGCTCACTAACTAGCATCCCAGAGTCATCTGGAGGCTTAAACACAAATTGCTGATCTGTTCCAGAGTGTCTGATTCACTAAGTCTGGGAGGGTCTGAGAATTTGCATTTCTGGGCATCCCTGGTGAAGTTGAATTCTGATTGGGTGAAGGCCTTACGTAAGAGGTGCGTGGTGCTAAATCTAAGAGCCCCCAGGCCCTGTAAGCTTTGCAAGGTCCTGGGCTGTAGGAGGGGTGGTTAAAGTGAAGGTCTTGTAGGGAAAGTACTGCAGGAGGCAAAAGGTGTTCTAAAAGCTCCAGAGGAGATATGCAGTGTCACAGGTTCTAAGTTTGTTCATCAAGAATGTGAAACAAAGTCCACAATTCTGAATATGACACTTCTGCTTAATAATGTTTTTCCCTGGCCAGTTTGCATTTGTCTTTAGCTTGTGTGGATTTTCATATTTAAAATACCAGTTCAGTCAGGATTTGCTTTTTGGGGTAACACTTACTAAACATTTTTAGACATTTGGAAGCAAAACCAATGTCTTCATATTTGATTTTAAAATTACAAACTTAATTGAAACTGTTCTTGGAGCATATTTAGCTTTTATAAAATATTTTTTGATGTAGTGATTATATTTTTGTTAAGATACAATGTTAAATAAGACTTTGGGCTCTGAAAATGTACTTATTTTCTTAGATTTAAAAAGTGGTTTTATGAAATAATATCCTTTTATTGAGAATTTTTACTTTTATAGCTGATGAGTGATTTTTTTTGTTTTCTGACAGCTGTGTTCTTTTGTTTTAGAGAATGTAAATTCTACATTCTTGGAACACTTTTTCTTATTTCAATAAACATTAATGTGTAGATACTATTAAATTTATTAAATTTGGAGGAATATAATGAAGATAACTTCTAAATTTACCTTAGGTCCTAACTAAGAATGCCCTCAGTGAACTGAAGCATGGTTTTAAAAAATTTAAAGGATGTAAAGTAACATCCAGTGAAATGTATATTCCATAATTAAAATAAATCCTATTTGGAAACAAATTTAACTCAGAGGATATTGAACTATTTCTTACATCATTCAACTCATTCTATTTTTATGGTTTAATTATA